ATCTATTTTTATTAATACTTTCCTTGGCAATACTTGCATAGTTTAAATAGTTATGAATAAATAAGTAATAAAGTTGGGACAAGCCCTATTTATTTAAATAACAAAGTTTTATACAAAACTCCAATGTTTTTAAAAATTTTGGTACTAATGTAATCAATGTGATATATCCATGTAATTCATCCAGGAAAACTCCTAAAAAATTTATAACACAGTTTCATTTTATATCAATCTATCCCTCGTTTGGGGTGCGGAAGGAGAATGAAGTTAAAGAACTTTTTTGTTCCTAGCCTCCAATCATCGCAAATTTTGCTAAGTCTCATTATTTGACATAAGTATAAACAAAAAAAAATGATTGGAGTTTGCTCCGTGTCTGGAAGTTTTTATCTCAAACACCAAATAATCCTGGATCCGTCATTGCCCATTTTGTTTTAAGTGATGTCCAAAATATTTTGAATGGTGTGATGTTAAAAAGCCGAAAGCGAATATAAATTACTTTATTTTTTTTATTGCAATTTATTTTGAAAAAAATTCTCATATTTTGACTGAATCGACTTTTAGTCGACTTAATTGTTTAATACCTTCGTACCTTCATATGTCATACAAAGTTCGTCGGAGTATAGTGAACTTAACTACCTTAGAAACCCGTTGAATTAGCGAAGATCTAATATAGGCTTATAAAATTATTAACAATAAAGACATTGTCTCATGGAGTGAACCCCGTATTCTTTGTGTTGGGTTGTCAAATGAAATAAAAACTAGAGAACATCGTCTAAAAATGCCAAGAGGATTTGTTCAAAATTGCAAGCAAAGGCTCCAGTTTTTTACAAATCGAATAGTTCAATTTAATTTGTAAAAGATTTTACAAATTGAATCATTACAATGCATTTCCGTAATAAGTTGTATGCACTTCATCTGTTAACAGTTTCAAGGCTCAGCTCGATGCGGAAATTTCAAACAATCCGCATAAGTATCGAGATTATAACTAAAAAAGAAAAACTATAAAGTGCAAACTTATACTTCATACTATGTGTGTTATTGTAAATTTTTATATATTGATATAAATAAAATTAGAGTTTAAAGTAGATAAGGCTAACAAAACTTGTAGGTCATAAAGGAAAACCTGTTTTCTACTACTACTAATAATAATAATTGTAGTTTACCAAACAAGTCTCGGAAGCAAAAAACCAATGTAACTCTAAAAAAAAATTAAGAAAAAATATTTTAATAGTAATACAATATAGGTTTTGTGATCAAAATAAAACATTAGTTGGTATAATGTAAAAAAGTGAAGAATTTTTAACTTTGTTTGTTTACTTTTTTTTTATACTTGCATTTTTCTCAAAATTATGTTTTTTGGGCTCGCGACGAGATATTTTCAAAACTAATTACCATATTGATTTAACGTTTGGCCCACTTATTTATTGTATTAGTATTTACAACATACACGAGAATAATTTTTACTGCTTCTCTCATTTAGAATTTTTTAAATATTTTTTGCCCTTGATTACCCCCTTTTTTTGCCCAAATTTACAAAAATGCTAATGTTTTATACCTAACTTAAATATTCTAACCCCCAACAAAATGACACACATAATTTATCACCAGCTGAAATTTCAATCATAAATTATGAACATTTGCTGAAAAATCTGCGTCGCCCTTTGCCCCATTATCTGAACTTTAATGATTAATGATTAATAAATAACAAAAGTTTAATGATTAATGATAAATAAATAATTCAAAGGACCTTAAGTTATGAATGAATTTTAACAGATGTTTCTGCCTTTTTATACACAATCATTACGTTTTTTTAGTACTAAAAGTTCCATTTTAGACATTTAGACAAAATTTTGTTTGTCTAATGTTTTAATGAAAACTGATTTTTTTCTGGACATTATGAATTGTGAAATCATGGCATGGATACATAAGATAAGTTTTTTATTCCTGTAGTTTTCTGTCTCAAAGAATGTCTTTATATATTCATTGAACATTTAGTTGTGCAACCTCTACTACTTCTCTACTGAAGTTAACAACAAGTTTTAATTTTATTGTTGCTTATAACTTTAACTTCACGATTGTGCAAGCAAGTAATACTTTTTATAACTTTAAACTTATTCTAGCATTTAAAGATTCTTCACTTAGAAATATTGTTAATCAACACATTTAAATATGCTTTGAACAAGCCTAAAAATTACATTTTAATTTATTTTATGTTTATTTGCACGGCTATCTGAGTTCTGAGTTTAACACAATGTTCAATGAAACAACTTTAAAGTGTTATAAAGCATTCGTTTTGGTTTCTTCGTTCTAATCTTTAGTTTTTTCAAAAAACGTTTGCATAATTTCGGTGTTCTTGTTATACTAGTTGGAAAGACCACATCATATTTTTTAGTGCCTTTTATTTCACAAAAGGCTTTTTTATTAGGCTTATTTATCATTGCAAAACCACCCGGTGGGAAATCATCTATTAAATCGTATATTTGTAGCGACAAATTGCTACAAAAATGCTACAAAATTGCTACAAAATTGCAATGTTTAAAGTTTAATTAATAATAATAACAGACTCAACACCAAAAATCGAATATAAATTAAGAAAAAAAATCGCTTGAAAATCGCAATAAAGCTAGCTAGTAGCTTGCTCATTTCCTTCAAACCATGTAATAGCATGCATTTTTGCTAAATTATCATTCAAAAATAGTGAGAATCATTTTTTAATTTAAATTTTTCAAAATTCAAAGTTTTTAAAATCATTTAGTTTATCATTAATTTTGAATAGGGTTTTAAAACGAAATCATCTATTAAATACTATTAAATCAAGTTTAATGTTTTTTTATTTTTGTTTTATTATTATTATTAAAGATTTATTTTTTTATTATTATTATTAAAGATTTATTTTATTATTATTATTATTAAAGATTTATTATATTATTATTATTATTATTATTATTATTATTATTATTATTATTATTATTATTATTATAGTTGTAGCAGTATTTTTGATGCCACGATTTTTTAAAGAGAAGAAAATAATTCACTCTAATTATTATTATTATTATTATAGTTGTAGTAGTAAAATATACATACCATATAAACATACAGCGAGCAGGGAAAACACCCTACAATAAACAACCAGTTTTATAAATATTCGTTCCGAATTTTATCCTCAACCATTGATCACAGTTGAGTATAAAGTTGCTTGCTCGGGTAGCTCATTCCAGTATTTTGCTGATCTATTATATATAAGGGTCTGCGTCTGCTCGTATTCTCTCAAAAGTTCGGTATGAAACGGTAAAAAATGTGAGTATTCGTTTCGTTCCGTTTATACGAAACAAAAAATATCATTTTGTTTTGTATCGCATTTATACGAAACACGTAAATCTTGTTTCGTTTCGTACCATGTTGTTACGAAACGTGAAATTATTTTTTCGATTTGTACCGTTATTTACGAAACACAATAAAATTGTTTCGTTTCTTATCGGTTTTTACGGAATATTTCATAACTCCCCGCCCAAATAGATATTTCACGATTCCCATGCCCTCGAGCAATACATAAACTTTTACGTTTAATACTTACTAACTCAATGTTTCGTAAATCAAAGTTTAACTAAAAAAATGTATTATCAAAGCAATGCAATAGCATCATTTTCATAAGGCTTAGCGCATCTAACGAAGTTAAAAATAGATATTGTCTTCTGTAGGTAGGTTTTAGTAAAACTGATGAACTTAAAGTTAAAATTTTATTACAGTAAAACCGTTTTACTGTAATAAAATTTTAACTTTAAGTTCATCAGACATAAATTATGTATTTGTTTATAAACTCGCATAAAGAGTTTGAAATCATTGTTTGAATTAAATACTTCAAATTATATTATATAACATTTTAAATGCGATATTGTTGTGTTAACTTGAAATATTTTGCAAAACTAATTAATTTATTGTTTAAAAACCATAGTAATTCTCAATCATATAATCATGCCTATAAAAGCTACAATTTTATGGAATTATTTCAATAAAGTTACTGTGTCAGGTGTTAAGTGTGGGGAATGTAAAAAGTGTCAAATCCAAATCAAGTTAACTGATGGATCCACTAGTGGTATCAGGTACCATCTGAAAACAAAGCATCCCACTGACTACGCTACGATGTTAAGAGCCCAAATTGAATTTGAGCGCCAAAGAGAAGAAGATATTAAAGAAATTACAGAGGCTGCCTTCGAACTGAATGACGCATACAGTAAGTTTCTAATTATTTTTCATAAAATAATGTTTTTCCTTGTATAAAGATAATTTTCATGTTTAACTTTAATTTTTATTTCGTTTTTTTAGATCAACGATCACAAAAAGGCTTATCTAAATGTGTTAATGGGGGAACTATTGGGAAATATTCTTCCCAATCAGGCAGGCAATTGGAGACAGACATGGTAATCATGTCATACATTGCCAGGTCAAGTAGTCCATTCACTCTAGTAGATGAACCATGCTTCAAAGAAATGGTGGAACATTTAAATCCAAAAGTAATTGTGAAACATTCCTCGACTTTTTCAAGGTACAAGCTGCCATTGCTTTATGAAAGCGTTATGGATACTGTGCAAAACCTAATTGAAAAAGAAGTTTCCACTTGTCAACAGGTGGCTATCACCACTGATGGTTGGACCTCTAGGTCACAGGATCCATACATGACTCTTACGCTTCACTATATCAATAGTCAGTTTGAACTGAAAAAATATGTTCTCAACTTTGACAATTTCGTGGGAAGACACACTGGTTACCACATTAGCAAAGTAATTTTTCTTATGTTGATATAATTTGTTCTCGTAAATATAAATTTGTAAGTGCAAAAATAATTAAAAAAAGTAAAACTTATCCTTCCGCTAGAATAGCGTTTCTTCTAGGATTTTGTCAATTATTGAAAGAATTTATAATTTATTGTAAAACCTAAAAGCTGCATAAGTTATCTTATAAATCATTAATTTTTCTTCATTCTTGTTTAAGACTCTGGAAGAAATGATCTAAAAATATCCGGTATTGGACGCCGTGCCCAAGAAAGTCATTGTCCACGATGCGGCGGCAAACATGAAACATGCTGTGTCAATCATGAACAAAACAAAATATGAATCACTGTTGTGTGCAGACCACCTACTAAACACTAGCCTACTACATGCTACCAATAAAGTGCAAGAAGTCAAAGAATGCATAGATATTGCCACACAACTATCTAGCAAAGTCCACAGGTCCACCTTAGCTTGTCAACTTATTGAAAAAGAGTGTATGTTGCTCCGTGTAAACTATGTTAAAATCATTGCTCCGGTAAAAACCAGGTGGAATTCTAACTGTTTTATGCTGGAGTCAATCCTTAAACTTAAAGATGTGTTGATTTCTCTTAGAGAAAAAGATGCACTAAATAACAACCCACTACAGAACGTTATTCCAAGTGACAACCAATTTTCACTGATGGCTTCACTGATGCCAGTCTTAAAAAAAATGAAGATTATGTCAGATTGCATGTCCAAAGACACTGAACCAGTGCTTCATCATATGCTAACTATGCTTTATAAAACTGACAATTTTCTTCATGACCACATTGATATGGAAAGCAGAGAAATAGTTAATGCTTTTTGTAAAAAACTAAGTGAGCATTTACACCTAGCCACGCGATTCAATGAACATGGAAGATACAACCAACACTATGCCTTGGGAAACCTTCTTCATCCGTACTTTAGAGGTTATAAGTTTTATTTCTTGGTAAAAAAAACATTCTTTAATATTCTTTATTTGTTAAAAGACTAAATTTAACAGTTATTGTTTATGATTTCAGGATATATGCTTAGACATTACGGTATCTTCGAAGAATTCACCAGAAAAGTCATCAACGATCATTCATCGTCGGACGCTGTTTCGATCAGTGAAAAAAATAATCATAAAGCTACACAAGTTAAAATGCCAGTTGGTGTGGATGAGTGCGACGATTTACAAAATATAGAGATTGAACAGGGTAATAATAACCACACCATTAGTCAAAATGTACCGGAAATTGAAAGGGAGTTTGAATCTTTCCACGCTATGCCTCGTGTTGAAGAAAAGCATAAAGTTGATGTGCTGAAATGGTGGAAGAAACATGCCTCTACTTTGCCATTGTTAGCACAATTGGCAAGAAATTTGCTCTGCATTCCAGCTGCATCAAGCTGTAGTGAGAGAGTGTTCAGCGCCAGCGGTGGAATTATAAATGATAAAAGACACAGTCTTTCCACTCAGACAGCAAAGCAATTGACTTTGATTAAAGTCAATTATGATCTTTTTTGTCCTCACATGACCTTGAAAATTATAAGCGACGCTGAAGAAGCCCTGGACCCCCCAGCATTAACTCCAGTTAGAACACCTCCCAAAAATCCTATTCCTAAAGCAGTTTTTTCAAATAACCAAAAAAGGTTATTGTTCAAAACAAAAAACGTTTCAACAACGCCATTATGTTCTTCTTTTTTACCATCAACACCAACATCTTCAGGAATCAAAAGAAAAACAATGGAAATTCCAGAAGAATCCGAAACAACATCATCCGAAAAAACATCCGAAAGTGACACTCAACAATTATTAAAATAAAAATGTTTTACTTTTTATTGTGAAATTTTAAAATCGTGAAATATAATTGTCTAAATAAAAACTGATTTTTCGTAAAAATCGCAAATGTGTGCTTAAATTGGTACAATATAAAAGTAAATTACTTTTTTATTTTATGCTAGCCCTATCTGTCGTAAAAACATTAGTATTTCTCGTAAAACTCAGAAATTTCTTGTTTGTTTGTTTCGTTTTTTACCGTTTTATTTCGGAAAAAGTTTAATCTTATTTCGTTTCGTACCGGTTTTTTCAAAACAAAAAATGTGTCCCGTATTTATCACGAAACCAGAAAATTGTATTTCTTTTCGTACCGTATTTTGCGAAAAAAGATAAAAATTTTTTCGTTTCGTAACGGTTTTATCGAAACGATATTTTTCATCGTTTTGTTTCGTTTCGTCTTGTACCGTTCTGAGACGCAGACCCTTAATTATATAATTGATTGTGTCTTAAAAGACAGGTTGGAACATATTCACGTCTTATTTTAAGATGGTGACCACGTGACAATGAGTTAATAAATTTTGGTTAAAATATATTATTAGTTATATCAAATTGATATATTAGTTTAAAAATTTGTATTAAATCGCATCGTAGGCGCCAAAAATCAAGTGATGGTAGATTTAGTCTTTTAAATCTTTCATAGTATTGAAGATTTCTCAAGTTTAAAGCCCATTTTGTTGCTTTACGTTGAACAGATTCAATCAAAGCTACGTCAGTTTTTAAATACGGAGCCAAAACAAACACTGCATATTCAAGGTGTGGTCTTATAAACACTTTATATAATTTGAGAGCCATTTTTTCATCAACGATGGTGAATGTCCTTTTTAGCATACCAAGAATTTGTAAAAATTAGGAGACAACTGGTTGAATATGTAAACTCCTCTTGAGGTTAGATGTAAATATGACTCCTAAATCGCGCTCTTTAATAGAGCTTCTTAGGCTTTCATTTACACCTTGGTTATTTTGAAAAAAGTAGCTATACATAGGATTGGTTTTACCATAACGGATAACACAGCATTTTGAAATTCTTAATTTAAGTAACCAAGTGTTTGACCACTCGTATACTAAGCGTAGACGGTCCTGCAGATCAACAAAATTAGTCTGCGATAAAGGTTTAGTAAAAAGTTTATTATCGTCTTCAAATACTTCAGAAGTTTCTGTAAGTTGGGCAAGATTGTTTGTAAAAAGAATAAGGAGCAAGGCAAGAACAAAACCTTGAGGAACACCACTAAGAACACAACCCAGTCAGAGCTAGTATTGTTAATTGTAACGCGTTGCTTTCTTGTTTTTCAAAAACTCAAAACATTTGAAACTTGAAAAAAAAATTCAACGGTCTAGTGAACTTTTTACACGTCAGAAAATAAAAAAGTTTGATTTACAGTAAGAATTTTGCTAATGGATCTGAAAACTCTATTCGAATAGTGGAGATTTTCGAGTTAAAGAGATTCATATTATAGAAAGTTAAACTAAAGCGCATTTTACGGTGACTTTGCATTTAATCAAATTAACCAGATTTGAATTAGAGAGATTGTACTCAATCACATACCAGTTTTTAAAAAACTTAACTCGGAATTACTCGAAAATACATTAAAAACGTTTGACTATTGTAAATAAATGTTTAAAAATTTATGGAGTAATTTCTCTTAAGTCTAACATGTGCCCTTAAAATAATTATCTAACTTAAAAACCCAAAATTTAAAAAAAAAATTTTTGTCTAGTTTTAAAGTTATTTTGCTCCATTGTACGCCCTAAGTAAAGTTTATTTTTATTTGATTCGTCAGTAGAAAAATTTTATTTTAATAAAAAGTAAAACAAGACAACTGTGAAACGATCTCGGGTATCCGCCGAAAAGTCGCGTTAAACTTTCTACCAAACGAAAATACAATTTAAAGCGTAATTTAATTTTTGTTCTTGCAAAGCTGAGCAGTTACTCCAAAAACGCCAAGTGAAAATAATTGCTTGTTTTTTATTCACCCGGCCTAATGTAAAGTATAAAAAGTGCAAAAAATCGGTTTTTACTTCACTAGTGAATTCAGGGGCACCCTTGGCGCCTGTTTTTTGCAGCTGTTTACTTATAAAAAAATTTTCTTTTGAAAATTAAAATATATATTATACGTATACTTAATAAATGTTAAATCACTAATGCTGAAAATATGATTTTTGCAGATTAAAAAAAATACTTTTTAAAATATTCAGTTGATGCATTGTATAATATATACAAGTTATAATTTTTTTAAATACAAGACTTCTGTAGACAAAATTCATAGCCATATTATCATAAAAGATAAAAATCAAATAATAAATCCATAATAGGTTTAAGATTTTTTAAATTTTATTTTATAATAAAAATCAAACGTATAAGGTACAAAATACAGCACCTTTTAAGATTAACTAGCTGAGAACAAACCTGTTTATTCACAAGTTCGTAATGACTGACAAAAATATTTATTTCCTAACATTATCTAGCAAAACAAATGTTAAAAATATTTTCTGTGTAAACTTTTTTATATAATTTTATAGATAACGTTTGCTTATAAACAAACTGTATAAATACTTATCAAAAGTCAAAAAAAATATTTTAATAACTGTACAGTGCTAGATAGTGTTCTTACAAAGATGTCTGGCTATGAAAATAGCTGTTTAACAAAAGGTAGCCCAGACATTTTTTAAAGTTACACTTTTATTATTCTGTATTATATTTAAAACACAATTCAAAAGTGTGAATTGTGTTTTAAATTCAAAAAGAAAAAGAACTATACTACCACAGCAAACAGTTCAGGAGTCTGGAGTCATTGCATATGACATAAGCAATCAGCTGACAGGCAGAATTTCGTTGACAAGTGCCATTTTGCAACGGACAAAAAAAATGCAACTTTTTTGGTTTGTTTCATTTTCTGGTCCATGTCAACGTCACGGAAGTTTTTTGATAATTAAAGAAAATATCCAAAAATTTCCAGAAAAACCATCTGGAAACATCCAGAAGCATCCTGAAATATCCAGAAACATTCAGAAGCATCCAGACGAAACCAGAAGCTTCCAGAAGCATCGAAAAGAAGCATCTAGAATCTTCCAGAACAGGTTCACACAGATTCATTTTACTATATAAGACATGTAAACCGACATGTAATTCAGTCAGTATATGGAAGTCATTCAGTCAGTATTATTAAGACAGTTAATCGAAGTGAGTTTTATCAAAGTGTTTTATCGAAGAACATCAATACAAGAAGTGAAATACAACAAGTGTTTCATTACATCAATACAGTCCACATCCAACCAAGACGTTGTGTTCCACAGAGCATTATTGTATCATCACAAAGTAAATGTAACACGGTAAGCCTTGAGAAGCGTGATTATTTATTTTTATTATTTTTATGACTTCAAGTGCAAAAATGGCTCCCGACAGTCCTGGATTGGAATTAAGAAGAAAATTATTGGCGATTACGTAAGTGGAATGTCACAAAAAAGTATTTGTGATAAATATCGCGTAAAAAAATGCACCGTATCAAGACTATGTTCCAAATATATATATACGGGGAAGTTGGCAGCAGATAACAATATATATATATATATATATATATATATATATATATATATATATATATATATACGGGGAAGTTGGCAACAGATAACAAAGGTGGAAGACCGCGTTCCACCACTTCAAGAGAGGATTCTATGATCGTCAGATCCGTCAAAAAGGATTCCTAGATATTATCACTCGAGATACAAAACCAATTAGAGCTGCCTGTATCGGATCGAACAATTAGACGACGTGCTGTTGAAGCCGGATTCTTTTCTCGACGCCCTGCAAAGAAACCGCCGATTTCACTAAAGAACCAGAAGAAAAGACTCCTGTTTGCTACATCTCATATTGACTGGAATGTGTAGAAATGGAGAATTGTCCTGTTCAGTGATGAATCGAAGTTCAACATCATTGGGAAGCGATGGTATTTGCCGTGTACGTCGACCGGCCAGAAAACGTCTCGATTTACGTTACTGCTATAAGACCGTGAAGCACGGTGGAAGCAATGTAATGGTCTCGGGGCGTTTTTCTGCTAACGGTCTAGATTCAAAACATCGAATCAATGGAATAATGTATATAATGGACCGTTTCATGTATAAAAATATCCTGAAAGATATTATGTTACCTCATGCTGAATGGAATATGCCAAGAAAATGTGTTTTTCAGCAAGACAACAATCCGAAACACACTACAAAAGTAGTCAAGCAGTGGTTTCAAGACAACCACCTATCGGTGATGGATTTGCCGCCTCAATCTCCGGATCTCAACCCTATCGAGAACCTGTGGGAGATTGTCAACTGCAGAATTAATCGTGAAGGTGAACATAAAATTTAAATTACTTTAACAAATATGTTTTCAAACATAAACATATTTTAAATAGACTAAATCTTTAATAATAATAATAATAATAACAATAATAATAATAATAATAATAATAATAATAATATTTAGAGTGAATTATTTTCTTCTCTTTAAAAAATCGTGGCATCAAAAGACTGCATAATAAAAAACAATTTAAAGCGGACATACAAAGCTCTACTGGAATTGGAAAGAAAAACAAAGAGGTTTCGAAAATTTTTGGTATTCTACCAAACACTCTTTCAAACTTTAAAAAAAAAGTTAAGATGAAATCTTTGACGCTTTTTGTCAAGGAAATGTGTCTGAACGCGTGAAAGTTGATACGCATTACCAACTAAACAAAGCTGTACTTAAGTGGTTTAAACGAATGAGAGCTGATCACGTCCCAATTAGTGGCTCGTTGGTAAAAGAAAAAACTTAATATTTTGCGAAAGATTTAAGCTTTAAAAATTTTCAAGCTTCGGATGGATGGCTAGACAAATGTTCTCTGGTTTATGCACTATCAAAAATTTCATAGAATACCCTTTACCGCTTGTTTATTTTGCATCTGTTTGTGCAACATGATCTTCTACATTCGTATCCAGATCGTCTGATTTCGTAACCTGATTTGTAACCACAAAAAACTAGGGTAAAATAATTAGTATTTTAAATATAAATTCATAAAACAAACTTGGAATTACACAGAACAACTTTACACATCTGAATGGAAATTTCCGAAATCACCCAACCTACAAATCAAGGAACTATTCGATCTCTTAAA